ACATGGCACTTTTAACTTGGACTTAAAGCCTCCAAATTGTAAGAATAAACTCCTGTTTGTTAAGGCCATCCCATTTGTGGTATATTCTTGTCAGAGCGGCACTAGGTCACCAGAACAGTATGTTTTTGGAAAAATATTAAGAGGTAGCAATTTTCTGAAAAACTGTTTATACAAGCTTTGTGTTTTCCAACAACTAATATTTCACAATCTCATAAAGTTACACTACTGAAACATCTAAGAAAATCCTTAACATCTGAAAATACTTCAGAATTTTATGAGCATGGGCCTTCTTAGAAAACAAAACAAAAAAAAATCCAAGACTGCTATTCAAACACATTCTTGAAAGATGCTACTTTAAAAATATATTGAATAATTAGTAGTATGTCCTGGTCAAAATACCAAATTTTGTCTTGTTAAAAAGAAAAAAATTAATCAATCATATGTTACAATGTAAATACAGAGTCAAGTGTATTAACTGGGCTCAACTTTGCTGCTCATGATCTTGGGAAGCTCCTTAATGTCCCCAAATTTCAGTTTTCTCACATGTAGCAGAGAAATACATTTGGTAAAAGAACCTAAGAAGATCAAATAGATTTAAAGTGCTTTTAAGGATGTAGAAATTGAGACCCTGTTTTGATTCTCTAATGCTGCTGTAAGGAGCTCTGGTAGCGTAGTGCCTAAGGCACTTGACTGCCAACCAGAAGGCTGGCAGTTCAAACCCACCAGTCACTCCTCAGAAGGAAGATGGGGCAATCTATTTCCGTAGTGATACTGCCTCGGAAACCCAAGGAGGGGTCGCTATGAGTTGGGTCCAACTCGACAGCACATAACAACAACAATGCAGCTATAACAGATACCACAAATATATGGCTTTAACAAACAGAAGTTTATTTTCTTACAGTTTTGGAGGCTAGAAGTCCAAGTTCAAAATGCCAGCTCTAAGCACTGGGTGAAGGCCCCTTGACCTTGGGCTTCAGCTCTGCCTTTTGCTCCTGGCCCACTGGAGCTGGAGGTCATCTCTTAACTCAGGGAGCTGCTGACTGCTGAGGCTGACAAACTCAAGATTGACAAATAAAATGGCACAGTCCCAAGATTATCAAGCAACTTGATAGGCCACTAGTTCAAGTCCAGAAACAGTTCCAAGATTGGCAGACAACATGGCTGGGCACTCACTGATGATGTGGTCAAACGCAGGATCCGAATGTGCCAAGAAGCTCACAGACCTTTCTCAAAGTGTCATATTATATACTGGAAGCAGACCACATTCCTAAGGAAGCTACTCAATTGTCCCCAGTACATTCCATCATGGGATTGATTACCAGTCTCATCCTGGGGAATAACTTCATCCAGCTGCCCAGCCATTCAAGACGAGGCCCAGCCAAGTTGACACATAACCTTAACTACCACAGAGCTTGCCCATAGCTAGAGGGAATGCAAAATGGGACAGTTGCTGTGGAACATGGTTTGGCAATCCTTCAAAAAGTTAAAAGAACTACCATATGACCCAGCTTCCACTCCTACGTATGTACCTGAGACTTGAAAGCATGAATGCAAATAGCACATACATACCAATGTTTAGTGCAGCACTACTCACAGTAGCTGAAAAATGGATATAATCTAAATGCCCATAAACAGATGAATGTATAAACAAAATGTAGTTTATACATACAATGGAATATTACTCAGCCATAAAAAGAAATGAAGTCCTGATACATGCTACAACACAACATGAACCCTGAAAACACTGTGCTCATGAAGTCAATCACAAAAGGAAAAATATTGTATGATCTGACTTATATGAGATACCTAGAATAGGCAAATATAATACAGACCAAAGTTTATTAGTGGTTACCAGGGGCAAGAAGGAGGGGAAGAGAGAGTCATTGATTAGCAGTTACTAATTATAGCAATGGAAAATCTGGCAATGACTGTTGGTGAGGGTTGCACAAAATGATTAATGTGATCGGTATCACTAAATCATACACTGAAAAAGTTGTATTGGCAAATGTTATATATATTTTTACAATAAATAATGTGCTTTGAAATATTTTAAAGTAATATTTCTCTAACTTTATTTCCTCTTTTATTTTTACCTCAAAATTATTTTTGGGAAAAAAATTAGTACCTGAGACAAAAATCTATTAAGGTTAAAAGCTGTCATGAACATCAACTGAAAAGGCTACATTATATACTTTATACTTCATTCTGGAGAAGACTATATAATCAGTCAATTAGTTTTTAAAATAAACAATGAGATTAAGTGGAATAGTTACAAAAACAGGTTGTATGACTTATAATAAACCTTATTTTTAATATGGTTCTTTACCTGATTACACTTATTCAGACTCAGTGGTTTAAACTAGTTGATTTACATAGCATTTTCATTTTCAAAAGCATTTCTTATTTGATCCTCAGCAACCAAGTATGATAAATGAACATTATCATTTCCATATTATGGATTAAGAAAACTGAGGCTCAAAAAAATTAACTTGTCCAACTGCTTTATGATGGGAATTGACACAGAGAGATGACTCCTAAATCTACATAAAAAGAATTCAAATAACTGGATATACCAGAGCAAAGGAAAGCAGCTCTAGAGGAGCAGTGGTTAAGGCACTTGGCTGCTGGGGTTTGAACCCATCAGCCACTCCACAGACGATGAGGCAGGTTGCTTTGTAAACATTTTCAATCCTGGAAATGCTGTGGGCCAGTTCTACTTTATTCTGTACCATCACTATGAGTCCAAATCGATTCAGTGGCAGTGGGTTTTGGTTTAGAGCAAAGAAAGTGCCTCATACTTCACTGGCTAAGATAATACACAGAACATCTATTAACCTCATGCTGTCCTAAAAGCAATATTCACTGGAGTCTACAGGCATATTTCCAGTAGCTTTAATATATACAGAAAACTGAATATTCATGGTTTTTGGATCTCAAACTATTAAATCTGCAAGCAGGACCTTTGAATAGTAGATCAAGATTGTACGGTTTTTTTTTCCAGAGTGGCACACCTAATGAAAAGTGTTCCCAGTTCTCAACTCTGACTTACCATTGCGGAAAGTGTTTTTTTAAACAATAAAATATTTTTAAAATAATTGTCTCCCAGAACTCATCTGCTAGATCCCATAAATAAAATGCTATAAAGAATCTGTGATCAGAGAAACTCAAACCTCATGTTTTTCTTCCAATCTATTAAAAAAGCATATTAAATACACAATGCTAGCCACTCTTTTAGATAATGATGGAAAACAACAGCTGATAGCCAGTTTGGGACAGATGCCAAAAGTTCCCATTTGTCTGAAAATGCTAAAATTGCTACTATATTCAGTTATTAAAAATAATTGTTATTTCTAAATATGAAAATATGCCAACTAGTATCCGGAAAAACAGACTACATATAATGGTGTCTCTTTAATCTGCAATATTAATTTAAAATTTTTTAATATTCCAAAGCTTAAGTAAACACATCTCAACAGGTTTAAATATTTTCATTTATTTTTTAAACTGTAATTTTTGCAAGCTAGCAGTAAAATATTGTCCTCAATATTTCAATTAGCACCGCATACCTTTTAAAGCTAACTGGAACATTGTTTAATTATAAATGATTGTAAAATAAAATGATCATTTCAAATGCCAAATGAGACTTATACAGCATGTGAACCATTGATTTTTACCATTATTTTGGCTTTACGCACAAAGATCTCAAAGATGAATTTAACTAGCCAATTAAATGTTTTGTCAATCCAACAAAACAAAGTATTACAAAATAAGGCCAAATTTAATCCCAGAAATTATTACATAATTAAAAAGGTATGTATGTAAGTTGAGGTATCAGTTATAAAAACAAAAGATACTACATAGCTAATTTATAGTTCCTTATTTTTTAGAAAAATGAGGATATACCTCAATGAAAATTCCACGGTGCAAGTACCAGTTACACATATTGTTTAGTATGTGTCATTATTCTCATGCTTTGCTTACTAGAATTTGGCCTTACCAAAAAGCCATCAAAACGTCCAGGACAACTCAGGGAAAAGTTGAAAGCCTGAAATAAAATTTCTCAGTGCAAAAGATCCCCAGTCATTTATACAATTTAAAAGGAAAGCTTAGACATTTAACCCTGTTCATCTGAAAAATATGGAAAAAATCTGATTATACTCAAATTTACTTCCACACATTAAAAACTTTTTTTAAAAGGTTATTTTTATTTCCTGTCTTCTGATAAAACATTTTTCAGAGCTATGGGGTTAAATTCTGAGCCATGATTGACTGCTAACCAGCATGCCTGTTTTACATACCAGTAGAATCAAATCCAGTTTTGCCATTTGTGGATAACTATGACAAGATACAAAAGCATGTGTTTGCCATAAATAGCTCTGGCTAACAGCAAACTGCTCACATTGAGCAGATCAAATTCTCTATAAGGAGAGCAGTCTTTGGACTGCAGCCAAATCCCACTCTTAATGTTTAAGATTGCTCTGTCAATTCTGTTTCCCCCAATTCAGTGTGCAAAATATAGTAAGGGGCATTAGCTGAAAGTTCCTGTACCTCAGAAGTATTATGAAACTTTTGAAGGACATTTTCCAAATTATTTTCATCATGACCAAATAAGCACTAAGAGCTTCCTGCTTCTACTATTTAACCACTTAGAAAGGTAAATATGAATAAAAAAATAGCTACCCTAATTTATCTAGAGAACAAATCAGATATTGAAGAGTATTTGTCAAAAGGCAAAAAAATAATTTTTGATTTCTATAGTAAAACATAAAGAAAAAAATATTTATAAAAGTACTGCTCTATAATAATGGTATTTTATATTACTTGGCTTTAGAATAGAGTATTATTAAACCAAATAAACAAATTCAGTAAATATCACCCATGAATATTGTACAAAAACAAAAAATTCTCAAATGACCAGTGCAAAGATTAATAGGTGTTTACCCTATAAGCTGTTTCACATAACATTTTTCAAAATTTCCAAGGAAAACAAAGCAACGTTCTGTAATATGCCACAATTTTTATTGCAACGTGGCCATTTTTGTGAGGGTGGGGAGTTTGATCTCAAAAACAATGTTCCGTGTAAGGCTCTTTTATACAGAAATTGCCATCATGACCGATGTTGAAAATATTTTTAGTGTTAAAGACTCACATGGTAAACATAAAACTCCTACACTTTTTCAGTAGTGTACACTCAATGGAAAACAAAAAGGCGTTAATAACAGCTATTTCTTTTATGAAGGTATGCAGGTAACAGGAATGAACACTGAGGTACTAGGATAAGTTGATGACAGTTTATGCAACTTAATTGGCATTCCTTTTGGGGTAGGGGGAGTTAAACTCGTTACAAAAAAAAAGTGCTTTCAATGCATAGTGTTAATCTGTGCTGCCATGTTGCAAAAATAGGCTTGCCAAGGCAGGTGAGGTGTATGAATACTTGAGCCTCAGAAACTGCAACCAAGTGCAACTATAAATAATACTGAATAAAGTGTACCATCTGACCAGTGGATAATACTTTCAAGGAATTCAATTAGCTTACCCTTTGCAGCATTCTAAGCTATTCACATTGACAATTACATTTATTGTAGTGCTTGCTGCAGGGGAGGCATATAACCAGTTGTTTTGGCTGAAGTATGACAGAAAGGCATTCCGTGGGTTCTACATAAAAGTAACAGTATTAACAGTCTAATGGCAATCACTGATAGGCTGCTTAAATGAATGATCATCTCCTTCAGTCATGTGTTGAAAGGGCCCAGTGGGGAGGGGAGGAAAAAAAAAAAAAAGATCCCTAATACTATTCCAATTAACTGAGCTGGAGAAATGGAAGCTCCTTAAGATGCAGATGGCTCCTTAAGATCCAGATGGCACTTGACTGTCATTTTATAAGGGTTTTCCTTCAAGTGAAACTACTACATTGCCTCCCAATTTCTCTCCGAGTGTTGAACGGTCCTTAATATCATCCAAGCCATTAACTTGCCACTCATGTTTAATACCTAACAAAAGAAAAAAAGAGACAAATTATTCCATTATCTTCTTTTAAAAATGAAAGGATAATTTATCTACACAAAATATTCAATGTTTGTACCTGTAAATTTCTTCTTAATGGCATCTTTGGAACTTGCATAAATCATCTTGCTTTTTAAAGGTGCACTTTCAGGAGCCCTACAGGGGAGAAAAATAATTGCTCAATCTCAATGATAAGAAAAACAAAGGCAAAACTGACTATGTTAATAGTAATCCTTGCATATAAAAAAGTGCTTTTTTCTTTTGTTTTTACACACCAGAATATAAATACTAGGTCTTCCTTCTTAGACTCTTTTGTTTCGTATGTGGCATCGTACAAAGCATATCGGCAATCATTCAGAGGTAGCAACTTCACAAAAGATGTGTAGGGGTCCTCTACAGTATCACCAATGTCACCCACCAAGATCTGCTTTGCTTCCTCTACAATTATTTGTCTTTTGTCATCGCTTAAACAGAAGAGGACTGCTTTCTTTCTTTTTTTGATCTCCTCTTGTGTAGAAGATTTCCTTACTTTCATATCATTAAAAACTTTGATGACTTCATCATTCACTGTAACTCCAGAAGCCTGAAAATAAAGAACAGTATTTAAACCAAAATTACAGTTTGCCTAGCAGTTTAGTCTGGGCATAAAAAATTCCATCATACTATCCAAGTAGTCCAATCACATTTATCACACTTTCAAGTATAAGCCACCTAAGTATTCTAAGTCATCTTGTCTCATTCATCCTTTTTAAAGGAGTTTGAAGGAAATGGAAGGTGGAGTGAAAGGGACAAATACAAGCTGTCCCCTCTCTGAAATGTTTCCTATTTCACTGGGTGATGTCAGAGCTTCAGGAGCAGCGGCAAAAATACCTTCTGTATTGTGTCAACTCTGCAGGCCTTGAAAAAACACTTTTGGATTTCACTTAATGCGTCTAGGATTTTTTTCTTTAAAGTCATTCTAGCCAGGGCGTTTCCTCATAAGGAAAGAGAATCAAGTGTAAACTCTAAACTGCCCACGGCTACAACTAATTGCCCAGAACTCAAATCCAGGCACTTCAGACTTGTCAGGTCTCGTGTAAAAGCTTTTTTCTCCGCGAGAAAGCATTTTAAAAAGAGTTTTTCCACCTCCTTAATCTTCATTTCTCCATAAAGGATTTATTACAGACCATCACGACACAGAAGGAGCTCTGGTGCCGCTGCGGTTAAAGCAATGGGCTGCTAACCAAAAGGTCGTTGGTTCGAACTCGATAGACTGGAGAAAGATGAGGCAGTCAGAATTTACAGCCTTGGAAACCCTATGTGGCACTTCCACCCCGTCCTATAGGGTCGCTGAGTCGGAATCGACTAGATGGCAGTGGGTTTTTTTTTTTTTAAGATTTGAATTAGCTTTAAGTGAGTATATTTTCTGTGGAAAAGAGACACTTATCACGACCCAGACCAACAAGCCTTCAGTAAGGGATTTAGACCGCGTATCAATTTTAGAGCGCGCGAGTTAAACAAAATCAGGAGGCGAAGGACAACCGCGGCGAGAGCAAGGCTGCTCCCCGAAGCCCCTCCAGCACTCCCGGCTGCTACACTATGTGTCGCGGCCTCCCGCCGCTGTTCGCCCGGCCCCAGGCCCCGACATGCCTGCACTGGGGCCCTCCAGCTCTCAGTAATCGGAAAAGCAGCGGGGCCGGGCCTGACAGAGGGAGGGCAGGCCGGTCAGCGGGAGAGCAGCGGGGCTGCAGCGCAGGAGCGCCCACCTCTCTGGTCAAGATCAGGCTAAAATGGCGGCCTCGCTCCCCGAGCCCCGTGGGGACACGCGGGGGGCTTTGCCCACCTGGCTCGGGCTCCCCGGCCAGTGCGCCCGCCTTACCATAGTGCCCGCGGCTGTGGCTGCGGCGGCTGCTCAGGCTCCGGCTCTGTGGCACTAGGGAGAAGAGGGGGAGGGGCGTAGGGCAGCGGCAGTGCGAGGCACGCCGGGAGCTGCAGCCCGAGAGAGGCGGCGGCGGCTCCTCGGGCTGAAGGCTGCGGGCAAGGGGGGGGGGGGTTTACGTGGGCACGCCCCCGCCCCGCCGGCACCTCCCAGGCCCGCCCTTTTCGCCTCGCTGCCCAGCCTGCCAGCGTCCTCGGCCTGACCCCGGCGCGCGAACTGTAGGCCCCCGGGCGGTACGGCCTATGTAGTGGCTCTGGAACGTGACCACGCGTCCTCCAGCCCCGGGGCATCACCCGTCACCCGGCCGGGAAGGTACTTGGCACTTAGTTTCCAGAGTGCTTCCCTGAGAACGCCGCTACTGGGTTGTGCGCATTAGAGGGGATAGGCAGGCGAAGGTGGTTTTCTTTCATTCACTTGTGTTTTCCGTGGAAAGAGGCTAGCGCCCAACGTTCTGAGTCATTTTGGAAACTAATTCTAGGCTGTTGCATTTAGCTCTCCTTGCTCCAATTAAATGAAAATAAACGCTACAGGAGGTTCCCCACTTGATTGTTTACTCAACAGAAACAAAATGAAAAGTCAGGTGGAAAAACACTTTCCAAAAGCTTATGATTGCAATAACAATAATACAGACATTCTTTGTGTTATGGACGAGATTTGTTCTTGAAGTGTGTCTTTAAGTCGATTTTATAAGTAGGAGTTGTCAGTATGTCCTTAAGAATGTTTGGAACCAGAGTCTTCCTGTAATACGAAAGAAAAAGTGGACGGTTAGGAAATGGATTATACTGCTAATGGTCATTTCAGAAGGGACCAGTCCCTGGAGAAGAATATCATGCTTGGTAAAGTCAGTGTAAAAGGGCAAGATCCTCAGCAAGATGGATTGACACAGTTGGCTGCTACCATGGGCTCATGCATAGCATGGATTGTCAAGATGGTGCTTGACAGAGAGCACTGTTTCATTGTACATAGGGTGGCCATGAGTGGGAGCCAACTGCATGCCACTTAACAATAGTCTTTCATGAAGCCCCAGCTATGAGAACCACCAAACCCACTGCCACTGACTTGATTCCAACTCACAGTGACCCTATAGGACAGAGTAGAACTGTCCCATAGTGCTCCCAAGGCTGTAAATCTTTATGGAAGCAAACTGCCTCATGTTTCTCCCCTGGAGCTGCTGGTGGGTTCCAACCACCAACCTTTTGGTTAGCGGCCAAATGCTTTACAATGTCACCAGAACTCCTTCCAGCTATCAGTGGACATCAAACAGACATTCTAAGGTGAGCCTGATCTAAACCATGGTCTTTTCAGTCCCCTCATATGCATGCAAAAGTTGGACAGTAAAAAAGGAAGACAGAAGAATTGATCCAATTGAACTGTGGTGTTGGGGGGAGTAGGGATGGTGGGGATTAACCGATAGGCAGGGTAAGCTTAGGTTTACTTGTGTTTATTTACTAATCTGTTCACGACCCTGCTTACCTTGCTTGTTAGGTAATCAGACACTAGTGGTGAAGAATATTGAGTATACTGTGGACTGTTTACATTGTCTGCCACTCCTCAAGACTGTAAGCTCCTTAAGGATCTGAGTCCTGCTCGTCTTTGAGTTTCTGGAACCTGGCACATAGTAGGTGCTCAGTCCAAAAAAACCAAAACCAAACTCACTGTCATCAACTTGATTCCAACTCATAGTGATCCCTATTGAGTTTCCCAGGTGATAAATCTTTACAGAAGTATATTGGCCAGTCTTCTGCAGCGTGGCTGATGGATTTGAGCTGTCAGCCTTCTGGTTAGCAGTCAAATGCCTTAGGCACTATGCCACCAGAGCACTCAGTAGATGCTGAAAAATAATCTTAGTCTGTTTAGTGCTAAAAAGAGAACAAGAAGGAAGCTCCTGAAGATCAAGCCTTTTTATTGGACCTTGTGATGGCAGTTTTGAAAACCTCAGGACCAGTAGTAGCTCTCCTGCTGCATGAAATTTGGCCCCTCTGTAGTGAAGGGATCTGAGTGTCGGACATCAGTTTTATTAATTTCCTACTGCTGCTATAACAAATTACTACAAATGTAGTGGCTTAACACAGCACAAATTTCCAGAGCAAAGAAGAGTGAAGAAAATCAAAGACACAAGTAAACAATTGGTCCAAAGGACTAATGGGGCCATGTGAACACCAGCCTCCATGACCCTGAGACCAGATGAACTAGTTGGTGCCCAGCTACTACAGCTGACCACTCTGAAAGGGATCATAATAGGAGATCACAGACAGAGTGGGAACAAAATGTGGAACAAAACTCAAAATCATTAAAAAAAAAAAAAACAGGCTTACTGGTCTGATAGAGACTGGTGGAAACCCTGACGCTAAGGCCCTTAGACACCCTTCAAGCCTGGAACTGAACTCACTCACCCACATGGCTCAATTTTCAGCCAACCCATAGACCTATCAGATGAACAGTAATACCAAGGAGGTACCACTCATTAGAACACTCAACCTTAAGAGATCAAAAGAACAGCATTTACCCAGGGTTAAAGCTCAGAAGGTAGGAAGGGATAGGAAAGAAGCACGAAGGGAAATGGTAAACACAGAGGAAGTGGGAAGAGTGTTGTTACATGGAGGGGATTGCAACTAATGTCCCAAAACAAAATGTGTATGAATTGTTGAATGGAAAGCCAATTTGCTTTGTATACATTTATCCAAATCACAGTGAAAAAAACCAAAAAACACAAATTTATTACCTTACAGCTCTGCAGTCAACCATCCAAAATGGGTCTCATGGGGCTCAGGGTGTTGTCAGGGCTTCATTACTTCTGGAGGCATTAAAGGAGAATTGTTCCTTTCCTTTTCCGACTTCTTCAGGTTGTTGGTACTCCTTGGCTTGTGGCTCCTAGCCAGCAGTTGCGTCACTCCAATCCCTGCTTGGTTATCATATGTCCTCTGAACTGCCAGCCTTCTGGTTAGCAGTCAAATGCCTTAGGCACTACGCCACCATAGCACCTCAGGACCATATAATTACATTGGATCCACTGGATAATCCAGGATAATCTCCTCTGTATCTCAAGATCCTTAACTTAATCACTTCTACAGAGTTCCTTTTGCCATGTCAGTAACATATTCACAGATTCTAGGGATTAGGGTGGAGACATCTTTAGGGGTCATTTTTTGGCCTACCACACCACATCTATTCTCTTGAGAAATTTCAAACCCAAGCGAACAATTAGCAGGAGAGACAGAAGGATCCTGAGCAATCCAGGACTAGAACCCACGGCTAAGCTATAATTATCCATCAGCTGGACTACAGATGGATGGCAGCCACAACAACTGTGAGGAACTAAGTGGGAACAACCTCCAAGAGGCTATGAAAAAGAAAACAACTTGAGGGACATACTGCAGCCATCTTCCAACAACATGGCAAACATAGCTCTGTGGTTTTGTGCTGTGAAGTCGACTCCAACTCCTAGCAACCCTATAGATAGAATAGAACTGTCCCATAGGGTTTCCTAGGCAGTAATCTTTATAGGGGAGCTCTGGTAGCCTAGTGTCTAAGGCACTTGACTGCTAATCAGAAGGCTGGCAGTTCAAACCCACCAGCCACTCCTCAGCAGGAAGATGGGGCAATCTACTTCTGTAGTGATACTGCCTCAGAAACCCAAGGAGGGGTCACTATATGGCACATAACAACAACAACAATCTTTGTGTGTGTGTGTGTGTGTGTGTGATTTGGATGAAGGTTTACAGAGCAAATTCACTTTCCATACAGCGGTTCACATATACTTTGTCTCATGACATTGACCACAGTTTACCACAATGCAACAGCTCCCCTCCCACTTCCTCCCCATAGTTACCTCTTCCCTGTGTCCATCCCTCCATGCACTCCTGCACCTTGAGCTGTCTCTCTGTGCATAAGCAGCCCTTCTTTCTCCCATGATTGTTCTCTCCAAGGAGTGTATCTACTTGAGGTGAATGTTCAACTCATATGCCTGCCTGTCTTTTGTTTGGCTGGAAACCACAGGTGTGGGTTCAATTCCAGATCTGAAGGGCAGCTAGGGGCCATAGTCTCAGTAGTTCCACCAGGCTCTATCGGACCAGCAAACCTGGTCCCCCTCCCTTTTTTTTTTTTTCTCCAAATGATTTTGAGTTTTGTTCCACATTGTTCTCCCTCTCTATCAAGGATCTCCTACATAGATCCCCTTCCAAGTGGATGACAGTGGTAGCCAGGCACCATCTAGTTATTCTGGTCTCATAGTTGAACAACAACAATCTTTATGGGAGTATATCACAAGGCCTTTTCTCCCACAGAGCTGGTGGTGGGTTCAAACTTCTGACTTCTCAGAAGCTGAGCACTTAACCATTGTACCACCAGGGATTCTTAGACATACATAGCTCTAGGCCTGTAGAAATCAGAAATCTTTGTGAATCCAAAAGAAATAAACCCAAGCAGGTGGCCTTGCAAACAGCAAGTAGTGTAAAGGAAAAAGCTTCAGGTCATCTGTATGGAGTAGAGAAGAGTGAGCTTCACAGTCAGATACGAATGGAAGCTCAGCTCTGACTCTCGTATGGTGCAATCTAGGGCTATCGACGGCCCTAAGGCTCCATGCCCTCATGTGTAAAATAATATTACTTCCTTTCTCTTAGGAATATTGTGAGGGAATTGGATATTATTCAAACAAGTTGAGGAGCTCTGGTAGCATGGTGCCTAAGGCACCTGACTGCTAACCAGAAGGCTGGCGGTTCAAATCCACCAGCCACTCCTCGGAAGGAAGGTTGGGCAATCCTACTTCCATAGTGATACTGCCTCGGAAACCCAAGGAGGGGTCGCTATGAGTCGGGGCCGACTCGACGGCAAATAACAACAACAACAACAAACAAGTGGAATAGTATTTGTAAACCTCCTGCCTACCACACCAATAGGAACATTCCAGACTTTGTTAACACCAGTGCAGAATGAAGATGAGAGCACTGATGTTACCAAATCACAGGCAACAGTCACTGAAGCAATCCCAGCCCTAACTGGTGTCTGTTCTTAAGGCTTAAAGTTTGCTTACTCAAGATTCTTCCTTAGAAAATTGGAAAAGACCATCCCCTACTGCATGTTCCCCCAA